CTAGAAATGTCTTTGGCGTGTAAAACCTTTTGTTGTTGTTTTTTTAAGTGACCTTCTTTGCATTTTGAATCATTTTTATTGCCTCCACGGAGAGGATTTACAACTTGAAGACAATGTCTGCAGTTTTATTGTCGTCAGGAAGGACCTCAGTCTCTTTGTTTGAAATATTGCTGGAATGCAGCAATAAATCACATCCCAACATGCTGATCAGCTGTTTCTAGCTCCGGTGCCATCCCAGTACCCCCACTGGGCCACAAGAAACCTTTTCACATGTTGTCTGGTGCCACCCTGACACTCCACTCTGAGCCATGCCAGCTTCAGGCCTTTCATTTTACCCTCCCAGTAAATCTCTCCCCCTCCCACACCAGCCTTGCCTGGCACCGTGGGGAAAGATTTACAGTGGAAAACTCTTGCATGTTTTTTTCCCCCATGTTGAGCTGGTGAGTCTGGAATGTGAGTTTAAGGCAGATTTTTATTTCTTTTTTTTTTTTTTTTTTGCGAGGAGTGTGAAAAAACAACAGAGCTGTAAACACTGAGGGTACAGACCCAGACTGGCTTCTTTGTTCCAGATGTGGAGCAGGAGCACAGCTGTTTGAGCCAAGCTCTGCCTCCGCTGCCCCTCTGAGGTCCATCATCTGGCCGGAGGGAGGGAAGGTTTGTTAGTGCCTGAGTCAGCAGGATGCTGAATGACCGTACCTGAGCTCGGACGTGTACGTCAGAAGGCCTGAAGCGTGACGACCAGCTCAGGATTTAACACCATGACTTTATGAGCACAGATTATTCCTGATAAACTTTTTTTCTCCCCCCAGTTCAACCAGTCAGAGTTTCAGTCTAACCGTGAGCTGCAGTGGTCTGTTTTCTGCCAACACTTAACAGCTACTGATGATGAGCTCCACTCAGAGCAGGAAAACACCCACGTAATATGGCTTGCCCTTTGTGTAAATGTAGTTTGTGAAAATAAATTTCATGTGTTTAGGTATTTAATTAATTAATTTGTTTAGACTCTTTGTCCCTTGTTATATTTTTTGAATAACCTCCTAAAATGTTAATAAATAAAATACAAAACATGCAGTCTGTTTTTACTTACAGTTTATCTGTCCGTCACTTTTTAAAATGAGATTTTTACAAGTAATTATAAAGGTGACACAGTAAATCATCTTATGTGAGAAAGGACAGTAACTATTTTTTTTTAGAATATGCTGTTATAAAGCAGATGTTAAAAAAAATTTAACGTAAAAAAATCCTGCTGAAATTAAAGCTGAAAAATTTGGGTTTTATTTACTTTAATTTTGGTTTACTTTTATTGGAGATTTAGAATAAAAAGCATAGTATATATTTACAGTATACAAATATATGCATATATATATATATATATATATATATATATATATATAA